GGCTATATACCAATTTGGGGTAAACAGTTACAATTTAAAGGGAGAGAAGCAAAGAAGGGAAAGACAGGAACGAGAGACAGGAAAGGGCAACAGAAAAGGAGGTCAGGTCTTAGCTATTCTTAAGACATTTTATTTCCAAAAGAAAGAGAAAGATAGATATATCTGAAGTAAATGTGACAAAATATTAACATTTATCAAATCTGAGTTGTGATAAAAAGGTGTTTTATCTGTACTTTGTTAAGAATTTCAATATATTCTACAAATTAAGAATTTATACCTCTCATTACTACTAATTCTACACTGTCTTAGAGTTATTACAAAACAGGTATGACCCAATTAACCCTGAAACTTAAATTTGAATTAATATTATTAATATAATACTTATTCCCTGCTTATATGAATAAGGGACTGAGCATGTGGATATAAAATTTAAAAGAAATTGCCTTCAAAGATTTTCCAGTTTAGTAGAGAGTCACAAACTAATTTTGTTAAATATTAAAATAAAATAAGTGCTAAACAATCTTTTCATGGCAATGCAAACTTTTCCACAGATAAAAGTCTGGGGAAACTTCTAGAATTATCTACATACAAAACACAAAGAAACTCATGAACAGTGTACTTTTCAACCTTGGAAATGTAATATTAAAGTGTAATTTGGAAATAACACCTGGAAAGAGTAAAACAACCCAGATATATTTTCTCATGATCTCACTTAAAATGTTAATAAAATTCCAGAGCCAAATAGAAGGTGTATATATTTTTTTAAAAAGATATAATGAAAATGTTAATTAAAAAAAGAAGCTATAAAATTTATGCATAATTCCAATTCCTTTTGTTGTTGTTGCTTATAATTCCAATTCTTTAACAGAAAAAAGAAATCAACGTAGTATCCTACTTATTGCATACATCAAAATACCAAAGGCAAACCACAGGCTCTCTCCTCTCCTTTATTTTGCTATGTCTTCTCAATTTCCACTGTAGGGAGATCGGGATTTTAAAAAACAAACAAACAAAAAAGAATACGAGAAAAATAATTTTTGGATAAATATATAATTAAAATAGCATTTTGGCCTTGATAAGACTATTTAAATCCTATTAGGCTTTTAATTTTTTACTAATTTCTTATATATTTACTTTACTCATATATTTATATTTTAAAATAAAGGCATAACTTTTTACTTAAATCTAACGAAACTTTTATAGCCAACATGAGTAGCCTCCATTTACAGAATATTTGTAAAATATCACTAGAAATGTTCTTTCTCTTTGTATAAGAATAAAAATGCTCTCTCCATTTTGCTATCAACTGCCACAATTTACTTGGTGAAAGATGAACCATACCCTAACCAATCACATTGTGTCACATCCTTAAAAATCACAAACATGAAATGGTGATGACAGTATATTGATAATCATACCACCTTATATCTACAATGTTATAGTTTATAATGCACTTCTAAAAAACATCTTGCTAATATCAACAATGTATTGAGAAATACAACTGATAGAAGCAGAAGAATCTTCTGTATTCTTTACTCAAAATATTGAATGTTCTAAATCACAAAATAAAATAATATACAGACAAAGTTCAAAGATAAACTAAGGACAAACACTTTAAAACAATAAAAATGTAACAGAAATGGCAAAGTTTGTTTTCAGTCATAATTCATTCTCCTCTGAAAAGGATTCTGATATTATGTAATCAATGTTAAGTCTTAGCAATATGAAAAATTTCACTCAATTTTTCAGTTACCATTCACTGCTTTCTACAGAGTTCTTTAGAATTTAAATTTAAAAGAAAATGTCTGTCAAAAGTGTTTCTGCATATTTACTGAAAATGAAGCATAAATATCTACAGGCTGGATGGAGAGTGAAAGTGTGTGTGTGTGCATGTGCACGCATGTGTATTTATGTGTGGGTGTGGGTGTGAGTGGGTGTTTGTGTGCGTGCAGAGAGAGAAAGAAAAAATAGACGTTAACTATAATAAAAAATAAAGGAAGCATTACAGAAGGTCTGTTTATAAATAAATGCTTAGAGAAAACTGAAGAAAAAAAAAAAGATTACTTCATAACCTATAATGTCTACCTGAGTAAAAAGAGTTACATTGGCCCTATCCAAGGATGCAACATCTGCAGATTCAACCAACTGCAGATATATAATATTCAAAAATAAATAAATACTAAAACTATTTAAAAACATAGTATAACAACTATTTAAATGGCACACACATTGCATTAGAAAGTATACAGAAGAATGTACATAGGCTATAGACAAAGTCCCATTGTGTATTAAGAGACTTGAGTATCCATGAATTTTGGTATCTACAGACGGCCCAAGAAACAATACCCCATGAATTCTGAGGGACAACTGTACTGTTTAATTATTTAAAACAAATTTAAGAATTTACCTGAGGAGAATTTACCTGAGGTGTCCAGGAAGCAGAAAATGAAACAGGAAAATCCACAAAACAATCTGGTGATTCTGCAGGATACTATTAAAAAAGCATAAAATTAGACCATTTTTGCTTCTGTGTGTTAATATCACATTAGGTATTTTAGAGAAACTAAATACATTAGGGTAAAACATAGTACTGTAACTGCAGATGTATGATATATAAATATTTTTGCTCTACTTTAATAGTGATGTGAAGAGCTGATTTACAGTCAACCTATGGAAGTACAAGTTTGGTGATTTGGAAGTGCCAAAGCAATCAGTGTTGAGTAAAAGGTAATGAATTAAGTCAGTGTTGTGTCAGCTGCTGAAGTTATGATTTGAGGAATGAACTGAACTGGATTTCTGTTTATCTTTAAAATAAGTCAAATGAGTTGATATTTAATTTTCTTCTAGTCTAAAATTTAATTTCAAATAGCATCAGTCACTATTTAAATAGGCAGTATCAGTTAAAGGAATTAGGAAATACACAAAAATAAATACATATAGCTGTCAATTTAAAAAATCATTTTCCTTATTAAAGATATTAATTTTAGCAAAAAGGTAAATAAAAAGAAACAATGAAATGTCTTCTGGCTTATTAAGAAAAAATAACATGGTTTTTAGCAAGAAAAACCTTTGCAACATTGGTAAATACAAAATTATTTCCTCAACTAGTCATACAGAAAATGGCAGTCATGAGGACAAATCAAGTTTCTAAGTTAACAAAGGCAAAAGGTAATTTTTTTTTAAATCAATTTCCTTATTAGAGAATCGTACTTCATGACTTCTGTAAAATCCAATTCTGAGTCTTCAAAGTCACATGTAATTAAAAATTCCCATTTCTTTCCATTTTTAAAAAGCCAAATGTACTGAAAGAAAAATAGTTTTAGGCAAAGTTTCACTTGACAAAATATTTAAATAGGTTTTAGGCTTTCACTTTTTTCAGCCTCTTACTTTTCATTACTCCACTGAGCAAGCAAAAGAAAACAAACAAACAAAAAAAAACATTTGAAATCCCTTTCAAAAAAATTAACATTTAGCTACAAGGATCAGATGGCTAAAAAGACTTACTATCAATATACACTCTGATTAATGTTATCTGGCTATGTAGAACTAATTAACACAAAGGCAAATATGTAAGAAACTATATAAAAATATTCCAGTGCGCTACTTCAGGGAAAAAAAGATCATGCTGAGATTAAAAGAGAAGTTCTATTTCAGACAATTAAAAATATCAGATAATGTACTTCAGAGTATCATTGCTATAATCATGGAAAAACAATTTGTACACCATATTTAAAAATCGTGATTATCTCAAAGTAAATGTAGACAGAGACCTCAGCTTTCTTCAGTTCCAGCTCCACTAATTAACTTGTATGATCTTGAACAAGCTATTTAATTTCTCTGGATGTTTCAAATGTAAAAATGACAGAACCCAACTAAAAGTGTTACAAAATCTCTTTTCCTTCTAAAATGTCAGGATTCTTTAAAAATAATAAAGTACACTTGAAAACTCTATGGGTCAAAAATGAAAAATTTAATTCATTTTGAGTTGCTGCTATTTATCTTGGTAATGCTGACAATGAACAATATCAACTCTCTAATTTACATGAATCATCAATCTAGAGTAAGAAATTAATGAAATGTTTACTGTATTTGGAGTAGATACACAAAGTAAAATATCTGTGGCCACATTAAGTACATACATAGCTCATTACACTAAAAGAAAGTAAGACCCTACATTCAAGTAGGACTCAGTAAACAGTATCAATGACGTACTGATATGGAAAGAGAACCACAAATAGTTAAACAAAAAAGCAAGTTATAATAAATATATGATCCTACATATATAAATGAGTCTAGTATGTAGTTTCTCAGATAATGACATCTTTCAAATATATTTTTACATTTGTAATACAATATATATATAATAGACTGATCTTTATGCAAGCATCTTTACTTCATGTCTGAGTTAAATGAATACCTGTTATATGTGTTAATTACATTCATGTGCAAAATCAATTTTGTTTATATGACAAACTTCACATAATAATACAAACTTAAAAAGAGTATTTATATGTCTGGATGATTTATCATAAATATTAAAATATAAACCAGCATCCTATTCATTTTCAGAATAGTTTCTAAATTATAATAGTATTAACTACAACGTAGATGACTAAATACCATATAAGTAACTTGATCAAAATTAAGATAGTTTTCAAAATAGTAAGTTGTATAAGTGTACATAAAACAACCAGCAACTAATTCTTATCAAAACTTTTACTTTCAAAAGTAATTTACAACAACAACAAAAGCTCCACATATAGGAATATTAACTGAAAAATAAGTATAATATTTAATTATTTTCAGGTAAAACATAGTTCTCTAAATCTCATTTGCAGAAAATCAAATCAATAACTATAAAAAATATGATTACATAATAAATATCTATTTTTATCACAACATTTTTTAGACTCTATAGTATTAATATATTATTCTAAGACAAATTTTAACCAAGTCTGTTCTGTGACTGGACTGCCCAAGCAGTAAGGCTGACCCACAAGTGAGGGGAAGTGGTAGAATTGGGAGAATATGTATTCCAGAATAAATAAAACAAATGCATTTATTTACTGTATATTTAAAAAATCAAATAAAAGAAACAAAGGTTTGTGCATTTGTCAAAAAAGCCTGCTTTAAGGTATGCTATTAATTTTAAAAAATTTTAGTATTCCACTTAAAACTTAGCTTGGATTAAGATTTTGCATCATACATTCTTAACATATAGTTTCAGCTATTAGTGTGTTTGACAATTACAGGCCCAATTTCTTTTTTTCCTCTAATAAAAAGACTGACAATCCGGCCCAGTTTCTTTTTTTTCCCCTAAAAAAGAAGAAATTACCACATCTCAAAGACAACTGTGGTATATATAAAAGCTAAACTAAATTGACAAACAAAGATTCTAATAAATTATACCAACATAAAATTCAGTTACATGTTTTTTTTTTTTCCCAAAACAAACTTTTCTTTTTGGCCTAAATTCCTTCCCAGTTCAAATACAGCTTCCTCTTCTTTTTGCGAGAGTATCCATAAAAGTGCTTCATAATTATAGATGTTACAAAAGTGACCCTGGAAAATATTATCCAGAGAAATACCAAAAGCATCATCTTATCTAACTTGAAAAGGTATAAGAAAAAAGCAGACAAAATGGACCACATTAAATTGTCACATCCTCACTCTGAATATTACCAATAAATGAAGTAAGTGTCATCAACTTGGATTAATAATCTCGTAGGTGAAGTTAAAGGCAGCACAGATTTACAGCATCATCTTCTCAGGAAGTAGAAGAGCTTGTAAAAATGAGGACAGGATGAAATCCTTAGCTTTGGTCTTCATAGAAAGAGGGCAAATTTTATTGAGGTACAAAATATAAACAAATAGAGCTTTGAAGGAAATAACAGAACCCTTGCCACTGGCAACGTGTAACCTTTTAGAAGGATAAAGACAAATTTCTCTTTAAAAAAAAAAGTGCACCTTTACAAACTAAAAAGGAAAATACAATGTAAAAAATAATTATCTAACATATTTTGCAAATAATGAGATTTCTATCCCACTAATTTTTTCCAACACTTATCGCATATGGAACTTAAAATTAGACCTATACATTCTGTGTGAGAGAAAGAACGAGTCATTTCTCAACCTGTCTGTTATAAAACCACTATAAGATATCAACTTTTCTGTGTCATCCAGTACAGCTTTATATATTAATTTTCTCTAGTGGAAAGCTTAAATGCCAGACACATTTTTAAAAAGGACAAACACAATTGATCTTTTCATCACTACAATCTTCTGAAATAGAGTTGATTGATGACTCCTAGGAACAATAAAAAAAAAGTTGGACATCCTGGTTTTCTCCAAATTCTAATGTTTCCCCAGTGATTACTAAGTAAATGATTAATATGCTCAACTTGTTTATTCTACTTATTTGTCCAAATTCACAATCTAGAACTAAAAAATAAAGATGAAACAACCATGTTTTGTGCCAATAAAATTTGTGAATATAGATCACTATCCTCTAAGGGATCTATAAATAGAGGCATAACCTCTGCAAATTCTTAAAATACTTAAGTCAAAAAACCCCAGCCAAAGCAAATAAACTATAAAAAAAAAAATGCATATATGTTGTCTGTGGTAGGGAGTGGGGATCAGTATAAGAATAAGAACTACCAAAGAAATTTACAGTAACAGTTAAATGCAAAAGATTTTCTCAGTACAACTTGGGATAGTCAGTTTCCACTGTCTTCTACACAGGATGTTACAAAATTAACAATATGGTACTCTGAGGCTATGGAATGGTACTTGTAATAGTTGTCATAAAGTCTGTATTTTGATCGAATTTGGGCTAAAATATGACATGAAATTGTCCAGGCTTTTGGAAACCTGGTGAATAAATTCTTTGAGGCTTTCCAAAATCAATGTTTTAAAGCATGATATACGTATTTTTAGATGCAACTAGCACTTCTTTACATTGAGAGCATTCAGAGCTCATTTACAAAGTATTTCCTGATCACAGTAACAGTTTAATGAGGCACATACCTTTGCCTTCAACTTGAGAGTGATTAAATGCTCTCTACCGGAAGCATCTTCTGCTTTTAACTTGATGGTATTGAAGGAAGTATCCACATATACAAGTCTGGTGAACAGAGAAAAAAAAAATGATCACACCAGGGAGAGCTGGAGAGGGGAACTGGAGATGGTAGAATTCACAATGAAAATATTTGCTATATTCCTATTAATCCATTACAAAAATTAATCGAGGAATTTCTGCATGCCAACCCTTTCTGCTGCTATAGATTTACTGCCGTTAATACACCAACCTAGCACTTAATGCAGTCATATATCTCTGGATTATTTACAATGTGTGTCAAGGCTCATGCTGTGGTCAGTGAGCACTATGTTTCAGTTTTCCATCACTGGAACCTTTGGCACACACAGCATGTTCCTGTCAGCCTCTACTTATGTACACATTAAACTTCCTGTCAAACTCTTTGATCCATTTCTTAGTTTCATACAGTATGAGACTTTTATGCTTCCTTTGTTTTTCTCCTCAATGAGCTTCTCCTGTATTATCAATAATGTACATACAAAAATCTAGCTGATATTTGTTCACATATTCAAATTGATGCTCTAAGGAAAATGTCGTATAAGCACAGGTACAGCCTGGTCTCCTAACGATAAATTTTCTTTTTGTACAATGCATAGCTTCTGACACTTAACCTACTCATGGATGCAAGATGACTAATACTCTAAACATATAGCACAAGCACAACCGTTTTGGCTTTAAGTTACTTTAAATGCATTAATTTTCTACAGTGAAAACCAATACCCTTTGAAATAAAACGTTCTGTAAAAACAGGGTCCCTTGAGTAGCATAAGCTACTGCCAAAAACGTTCAAATTTAGCAGTATATTTACTAGTAAACTGGGCATGTGGATATTTTCGACATTTTTACAATACTATTCTCTTGTAAAGATAAAAAGTAATCTAAGAGTATTGCAAAACTTATCACCCAGACTAATGCTAAGACCTATTGGAATTCAGAATATAAGCCTCCTAACTTAGGAAATATATTTTTAATATCACTATATGCCATATAGATACTGTATAATGATAAAATGGGCTAATTTCAGGAAATGCACAACATAGCTGTGAAACAATGTGATGAAAATATATCTAAATTTGTAGATATCTATCTTCAAAAATAGAATAGAAATTGTATTAAAAAGTTTACGGGCTTAGAAAACAAATGACTGTAAAACTCATCTAGAAAGTGTTTTATACACATAAAAATAACAATGATCCTATATTTTCTTTCAGCTATATCTGTAAACCCCTCACCTCCCAAAAAAATAAACCCCAGAATATGAGTCTTTACCACATTTTATCACATGATTCTAAAGTTCAGATATATTGATATCTGACTCTTAAAATTTCCACACTTCAGATTCAAGATATTAAGCACATGCATTTATATTCTCTAATTCCTAAAAAATTAATTATTCAAAAATAAGGAAATGTTTAAAAGGTATAAACCTACAGCTACACACACACACACAAAAAGAAGAAATAGTATTAATTAAAACAAATTTTCAACAACATTTAGGAAAATGTAGAGTAGTTAAAAGAGCACTGGCTGACAAAACAGAAGGGAAGAAAGAGAACAAGGAATTCAGGCAGAAACAGCTGGCAAAAAATGCAGTGTATAGGATAGAAAGTATGACTGATATACTGACAGAAATTACGTAAATTTTTTAAGTGCAAGAAATGAAAAGGGGAAGCAGGAATCTGAAACTAAATTATAAACAATAAAACTGTGTTAAAAATTATAATTACTCTGCCACTAACTTTTCAGTTAAAAATATTTATGTAGTTGTAAAAAATTAAACTGTTACTAGTTACAATTTTTAGAGCCCACGAATACACAAAGCTAAAAGACTTAATTATAGTTATAGAAACTAATGTAAATATATTTGACTATTGCAATTTAAAAGGAAGAGATGGCAAAAATTGGGAAGTAGAAATGGGAAAGATACCAGAATGGAAGATTAGAAACAATAAAATCCTTAATTGCTAATTTGAAAGTCAAGAGATACCATCTTTAATTGAATGGACGTGAAAGAGGTTTAAGAAACAGTAAAGCTGATGGGAAAAAATAAAAAAAGAAGAAGAAAAAGAGAAACAATATACTAGCTGAATTATTTTTCATTATAGTAATCAGTTCATAATTCCTAAAAAAATAAACAAATATTGAATGTAGGCAGATTGTTTTGAAACATGCAAGTTGTAAACATAAATATTCAAAGTATTTGTCTCAAAGAATAACACTAGGGATTGAAAGTGATGTGGGAAACTGCTTCTCATTATAAGCCTTAAATAGTTCATAACCTTTATGAATATATACAGAGGGAGAAAGAGAGCATGCATGTTTAAGAGAAGTGAAAGAAAAAACTAAACCACCACCTACTACTTTCTGTACTTCACACTGTTGCTCACCATCACAATGTTTAAAATTATTTTTTAACATCTATAAAATAAGAGATAAAAGCTCTTTAGTCCTTTGTTTGTAATCACATAACATAAAATTATCATCAAACAACAATGTAAGTGAGAGAGGTAATACACTACAGAAAAAGTGCCATGCTTAAAAATATGGCCTATAAGCTAAAACGGCCATGAGGTTAATTTTGTTAAACTTTAAGACGTAATTTAAATAAGGCAGTAAAAAACGTTTATAATTCCAGGTTAATATCAGCATGGCCATTTAAAATCAAGGTTCACTTTACCCATGCTGCTTCCTGGTCACTTTGTTTTGGGGTGGAAAGAAACCTTACTGCAATCATTTAGTCTGAGTACATGTGACCTACATTGTCAATTGCCCTTTAATATTTAACTTACTTTCTTCCTTTTGGTACTAAGATTCCTGACTGCGTCCAACACTCAACTAAACCAAGTTTTAGCAGGATCCAGTTCACCCCGCTAGTGACTTGTCCTAGCTGCCCCTGAAGAGAAGTGCTGGCATATAACTACATTTTGGCCAGTGGTCTGCAAGCACAAGCAATGTGTGCATTTGGGGGATCATTTA